AATGTTGTTTTTGCTCTACTGATACTACCTGTTTAATGTGCCTTGGTTTGTATAAATTTTTAAATTTCCAAAATTCTACTTTGTAAAGTACAAAAAACTACAAACTAAAGTTCTACACATGATAAAAACATAACAAGGTGAATTCATTCTCTCATTTCATCGGCCATTATTTTTTTCTGACGTTTGCCAACATTTTAAAATCATATAAAACTGAAAATAAAAAAATTAAATTGTTCACAATTGTTGTTGTTTGAGATTGAAAATGAGGTTGTGTGTGTGAGTTTGAGTTTTGATTTTAAAATTATATTGTTGGCAAACGTCAGACTGCCTCTCAATGGTTTTACCTTGTTATGTTTTTATCATGGTTCTACAAACAAATTTATACGTATAGAAAGCTTGCTACTTCATATGTATGAGCGCCTGGTATTGAGAAATAAAAATATTTCTTTGTACAAATAAAAATTTAGTTCGTTAAATAAAATTGGCCGCAAGTTTCCTTCAAAAACATGCAGTTGGTTTAAAAAAGCATTGACAGAATATCCAAAGCTGGTACGTACTTTCTGGTCATAGGTAATGCTTTACCAAATTGTAGCAGTAGTAGAAAAGCAGAAGTAAAACGACTATTTTCTCCTATAAATATTTTCTTCAAGGCATATTTTTTCAGTGTAGTACTGAATGATCAAAACTGTTTGCATTCAACCAAAATTTACAATCACGATGATTGCGAATACTTTTGTTAGTTCACATTCTATACTGAATGGAACTCTGCCATTCAACAACACATTACGTTTGTTTTTGTTTCAAAATAATTTAAGCCACTCAGGAATGAGGTTTTTTCTTATACAGCCAAACAATCAAAATTTTGAAACGAGTGCCTACTAATTCAATCATTTTACAGCTCCGCTGCCGAGTTCAGAAAAAAGCACTAAAAAAGCACTAGGCACTAAACTATTTTTATTGGCGTTTTAATTTTCAAAAAGCACTAAATTTACTGTTTAAAGCACCAACTGTTTAAAGCACCAAGTTGGAAACTACGGCTAGCAGCATGATTCAATAATACAAGGTTCGATAAACTGACAGTTGTCTCTCTCGCACCGCTCCCTTAGCAGTGGCACCGTGTTGCTTCTTTGCAAATTTACATGGAAACAGTGTAGCTTTCGTGTGAAATAAAAGTATAAGCTTTTGTGCAATATGTTTATTTGTATATGCATATGAAGCATATTTAACTGATGAAAACATAAGCATTGGATGTTTATATCAATCTCATAGTAGTCTTATTTTAATTTTGAGTCATTTTGCAGTTTTTATACAGCTAAATTGCATATAAATTACGTAATTCACGTAGATATATCAATATTACGTTCAACATTTCGTTTAAAATGCCAGATTTCCTGCAAATACTTTAGAATTTACAAAAGGAATTTCACTACTAATTGCCTACTTTGCGTACTTTTCTACTACCATTATCGCAACAAGGGATTGCATTCTTTCCCTTTCTCTGTCCTTCGCAAATGCAACCTTTTGTAAGGGAGTGTCAAACCGCAGCTGTCAATAATTATCTAACCTTGTATTATTGAATCATGGGCTAGCAGCACACCAACAGCGTGCCCGAACCAGTCACCAACCATTTCGTTCACCAAACTACATAGCTCGGGACAGCACACGATGAATTCTCGACTAACACGCAGCTTACAGGTGTAAAAGGCTGAACAAGTGCGCAGTCGGGTCAGTCTTGCTAGGTAAGCAGTTGTCTTAACTAGTCGGTTGTGGAAATGTGAATTACGGTGAAAACATCGATGTTTCAAAAAATTACATCGATGTATCGAATGAAAACATCGAGGTTTTTGCAGTTTTTATTCAACCGGAAAATGTTAAACTAACTAGGGATGTCGATTTGAGAGCAAACATCGATGTTTTTGTAAAAACGATGCATCGGAACAAATACATCGAGTAGTTCCTTATCAGCAATGTACCTAACAAAAAGCCAAATTCCGAGTGACATCGAACAGCGCGGAGAAAAACAAGAAGCTGCGTGCATTTTGTTTTTGCTTTTAGGCTATTAAATGTCAAAATAGCTCCTCTGTTGCTACTTGTCCGATGGTTCTTGCCAAATGCACACAATAACAGGACTATATAATATAAATATATATCAGACCGAATTTATTGGTAAAAGAAGTTGGGAGTTGGAGATTATAAAATTAATCAATTTCTCACAAGCTTTTCATTAATCACTTAAAATTAATTTAGTGCCGTTTTTTCAAGTAGTTTTTAAAATTTATCTGCCTTTCAAACACATTTTTCCAGAACAAAACTTGTGTTTAAAAGGCAGATAAATTTTAAAAGCTACTGCCCTGGGGGGAGATTCTGTAACTAGTTAGCGACAATTTTCGGATCGGTATCGCTTTTTACAGTATCGCTGGTTACAGAATCTCCCCCCTGAGATAGTTTTTCAATCGCTTTTTATACCTTTCATGAGCATGAAATGGTATTATAACTTTGGTCCGATGTTTGTAAGTACCAGAACAAAAAGAGATAGACCCATTAAAATGTATACTTATATGATCAGAACGTCGAGCTGAGTTGATTTAGCCATGTCCGTCTGTCCGTCTGTTTGTATGCAATCTAGTCTCTCCGTTTTCGAGATATCCGTATCAAATTTGGTAGGTGGGTCTATTTTTATAATGTATTAATCATTTGTCGGAACCGGAAGAATCGGAC